CTTGCGAGGCTGTTCTCTTAGCATATGCTCAACACATTAGTGTGACTCTAGTTGCTAGACGAGTTTGGTTGCAGCAGAGTGGTTCGTTCATTAGAGATATAGCGTTTTGAGATTTGGCAGCCTTATTCGTTCTTTCCATTACTTGTACTTTGATGGATCAATTCTACCACTTTTCTTTAGATGTTACACAAAAGCCCAATCATTGATAGAAAAGTTATGGTCATACTTTCTATATAAATGGTTACCATAGCAACACTATAACCTGTTAAGAACGACCTTGACGTTAGCTTTAAGTGCTGATTTTTCAGAAGAGATTGTATCTCAAATCGAGTTCGGTGACCCCATTTTCTTTTTGTGCAACTATCATTAGCGTGCCAAGACACAAATTTTGCAAAGTTTTAAACAATCCTGTGGAAGGGGTTCAGAGACACCTTTAAAAATTCTCGACAATTTCAGATGGCTTTCTAGTAAAGTGCAAGGACCAAGACCAGTTGATAATCAAGGCACCTCCATTGATAAAAAATCGTAAGTTGTCTTCCCTTGTATAGATAGATTGGGCAGTCCTGCACTCTCAGTCTTTGCTAGGGTAATTTTAAATTAATTTCGTCTGAACGTATATTTTACCTTGTCACTCAATTTTGCTCGGTGTTATGAGGATAGAAATAAGACTTTAATTGACGCACTCCGTCTGAAACTTCCCTGGATGGAGGTTTCCAAACTTCGTTTTACGGCGGATTGGGCGGTCTCGCACCCTCATGCTCTGCTAGTGTTATTTTCTTTTCCTTCATTTGCGCGTATATTTTATTTAGTCACTCACTTTTACTCGGTGTTATTAGCGAAGAGACAAGACTTGAATTGACACACCTCGTCTGAAACTCTCACGGTTGGAGGTTTTCAAACTTAAGGTAGCTTACACATTAATACAGTTCAGCCTTTTTACGTCTCTCTCACCCGCTGCCCGTCGTGCCCACTGGCACAAAGGGCAGCATCAAAGGCCCTCCACAGCTGTCTCTCCCCGGTCAGCTTTTCTAGGTATTGTATTTTTAATCTTTGGTGGCTTTATTTTGTGACAGTTTCTGCAGAATGGCCAAGCTCGTGAAAAGTTGTCTACATTATATGTTTGTTAAGTGTTTTATTCGTAATTTAATGCTTTACATAAGCAGTCGAGAGTAAGCGATGTTTAGGCACTGTCGCAGTTTATTCTAAACATTGATCCATTTTCAGATCACTGTCGGTAAATAGCGGTGCATATTTATATTGCCACGGATATAAAACTTTTCTTAATGGGTACGTCATTTATATTTTCAAAACTGTGCAAGAACTATTAAGCCAGATTTACTGACTTCTTAGATGATGGGCGTAGCATTTCTGACAAGGATAATCATGCAAGATTTTTCACGTCATGGTACGCTTTTGAAAGCAGGAAGCAAATGCGTTACGTTTTTATTCCTTTAGTCTTGGTCGACGTACACGAAACTTTCATTAAATTTCTTTATTATTGCCACTTAATCCTTTAAACTAGTATCACTTCCGGAAGCGTTTAAGTTCGCATTGTGCCTGTCGACAAGTGCCCATCTAATTGGACCGTTTAATTCTCAATCACCGTGTGGGATATTTGAATCGAGGGGTTAGACAATATTGTAAACATGTCTATTTCTCTAGGGGGCTAATCTTTAGACGATCTAATAACCGAGTAATGAAATAGAAGAAGACGAGGTTTATCCTTTGTTCTTTTTACGTTGTAAGTTGCACAATTGTTTTCTTACACTTCTGGTTGTAAATATTGCTGATTACCGCCAAATTTCTTCCCGTTGTTCAACTGTTTTTTCGTTGGGCGTGAAGAAACAATTTAGCTTTAATCTTCTTCTGATTATTTATACGTTTAGCCCTGGCTTTGATTAAGCTTTTGAGTACAATGGTGTTTAAGCATTTTGCCAGCGTGGCTCGACTTCTAAGGACTGACCATCGTTTGTGCTATTCAACCTTGAAAGACGCCAAACGTTGCATACTTTTATAAAAATGGTTGACGCAACGTTATAACTTGCGGCTGCGTCAGTAAATGGTCTTTAGTGTCTGCTAATGAAGAAACAATCGAGCAAAGAAACATAGATGTGAAGTGAAAAGAATAAATTAGTCAGTACCGCGAGGCAACAGTTTCAAACTTTGCAAAACGTATTTTAGTGTTAAAATTTTGAATTTTAAATCATCAGCAATTGAGGAACCGACTTCTTGGAGCAACTTGTTAAAACTCAGTTTGTCTCAATACTGAATGTCTGTCTAAAATAAGAGAAATATACATTTCTGGTAAATCGACAGTCCATAACGGTGACAAAAGTATGAAAGGAATCTTATGAGAGAGACGAGATGAGTAATGAAGACGGTGACCTTTTTCAATGTTAAGGCCCTTTATAACTCGTTTCGGCGAAGTTAACCAGCAAACCGCCACCTCTTTACGGAGGAAACGACGTCACACATTAGGGGTTTCCCAACACCTGCGACCATTTCCTAATACGTACGTGTACGTGTTTCTCAAAATATATTGCTTTTCGATTGTTGATTTGACACAACTCTTTCATGATCCGGTAATCCATACTTCAGCGGTTTTAAAAGAAGGTAATCTTTCATTAGGTAATAGAAATTGAATTATTTTGGGAGCAGAAAGAAACTTGTTTCTCTTTTTCTTTTGGCCTCATTGAAAAGACCTCCTAAATTGCACTGATTCGTTCTGTTTCTTTGTGATAACCTAAACTGATCTCGAACGAATTTCAAGATGAGATTTTTTTGCTAAGAATCTACAGTGTAGATAGATAGACAATCTTTATTCATCCACGGTACAAAAATCCTCAGCTTTAAAAATACCTATAAAAATACCTAATGCTGATATAATGAGAAATGTATATAGAAGAGATCAAGTAGTTTTTAAATAAACGTTAAGATGGATATGATCTTTCAGGAAAACTGATTTTAAATCTTCAAAAAGGGAACGCTACCTTGATTTTCGAAATCGAAAATTTATGCAAGCGTCTGTCTGACATAGTTAGTCTCAATAACGAACTAAACATTTATGACTCTATGATCTACTGCGAAAGCTAAGAGAAATGGTGGCGGATGATTATGTTGTAATTGGGAGAATTACATCAACACTAACTCGAGAATACACGGAGATCGAAACCAGTAACACTCACCTTGAGAATTGGGGAAAACGAACGGATTCGTGGTTAATTGTTTCAACCCTTACACGTTTTTACATCGCATGGACACCTGAGTATCCACCACTTGCGATTGAGCGCGTTACAGATCGCTATCTTCACAAATAGATCGTAAAAAACCACCTCCTAAGAATATAATAATGGTAATTTTGGACGTGGCTTAATGTTCTTGAATGGCTTCAAAAAGGTACTAAAAAGTAGAGTTTTTTGATCAATTTTCCCGCAGCATCTAGTTAATAAGTTTTCTTCGTTGAGTGTCGGCAACTGATTCATATAAAAGGTGTTATATTGTATTCTTTGTTCGGTTCGTCGGGAATTACTTCCTTCAAAAGGCTCACGCGATTCCGAAAGAGCGGATTTCTTTTGCCGACACGATCGTAATAGCCACACCAAGCGTCTCTTCTTTTGTGAATGACGTGCTAGATCCATTTTACCAAGTCAAAGTTGTGCTAATGAATTCTTTTATTGAAAATCTATTGCTCCCTTTTGATCTAATCTGATCAGAATGAACCAATTAAACGGATTTCCATTGGGCTATAAGCGCTCGTTATGAATCCGCAAGCGTAACCGCAAACGACTAACGCCTTGGTTGCCACAGATACCAGGGACTGAGGACCCCGATAAATCAGTGAGACACTGTGACAAGAAATACGTGATCAGGAGGTAATGCGATGTTCTTAATACGAGGCAGGGGGCAGGTAGGAAAAAATCAAGTATTTCCGATTGGCTTGAGAAACATTTAAAGGACAATTCGCTATTAAGCTATTACTTCATTAATGTTATTGCAGCCTTTCGCTTAATCTCGCACGATTTGAAAGCTTGGCCACTCCACACATAGAAAGTGAAATCTCATTTGAACCTCTGACTACTCGAAGACAAGTGGTAATTTTAACCATAATTAGATTATTTGTTTGTTTCCAAAAGCCCAAAGTTTGATGACGTAAGTCTTGATGCGTGACCCGGGTTAATAAGAGAATTAAAGTAATCCTCCGGCCGTGATATGAAATCCTCTGCTGACACAATAAGATGTGCTAACCAGGTATTTACACTTGCAGGATGTGGGCGAGTATCGCATTGATCGGCAGAGAGCCCTGAAAGGAATCCATTGTTCAGATAAAACGATTTATGTTTCCGCAGTCTAAAGCAATCATTTTCCTAAAACTCTTAAACAACACTTTTGCTATTACAAATGATTACAACCAGGCACGCCACGAAAGTTACAAAACTTAACAGAACACTGTGCCTCGTGTAAGAATATTCCAATCCCGTACCTTGTTTGAATTCGTTATTTGCTTTCTTCCCGCTTCTTTTGACTGAAATCGTGCTCCTTATTGAACTAGGAATTAACATAACTCCATGCTCCTTCAGGCATTCAGCCAGCAGTAAATTAAATCTTCGTGTTGGCATTCATCGTCCGCCACTTTGCGAATCAAAGTTAAAATCAATAATTCGCCACGATTAAGCCACGAAGCGTTGCAGACAATGACGGAGCGCAACATTACTTTCCGCACGCGCTTTTCGGCGAATAGTAATCACAGGAATAAAATAAAAGACAAGTCCGCGACGTTGTGTTCATGAACTTGCCGCCATCATTTATCACGACAGTTTTCTGACAGCCAGCTTATTATGTTATCATTAGGCCACTCCCAGTCAGTTAGTTTAAATTCAGGGGTAATGAGAACCACGCAGTAGTCTACCAGTTTACCAATACACTGAAAAGGAGCACTGAAACGTGGAATACGGTACGTGCTATTGACATCTTCAGGTAGCTATTCAAGTTAATTACAAGATAATTACGGTGAATTTTATTCATCGTGCACTCAACTTATGAGCCTCAACAAAGTGTTTGCTTTGATTTAATTTCCAAGTGCCTTTTGAAATTAGACTTCTTGAAGAGCCCACTTACAAACCAAAATCTGTCGTCAAGGTTATTGTAGGACTTCACTGAATAGTCGAGAAGTAGTCGGCCGTTGTTATTACCTAAGAAATTAGCCTACCTTACACTAACTCGCGTGAATCAACATGAACTTCCCAATAGCCTCAAATAATATTTGCAAACATATACATAATGGAGTCTTCGCTTTGTGCGGCGTCAACGTACGGCGTATGATCGAAAACACTGTGCGATGAGAGTTGGTGTAAGCTTCAGGAAAAGAATATATGTTAATTATTAATGCCGGGCCAAGGTTCTGCTGATGTGAATCTAGCCTTGCTGGAAATTAGGACGTTATCGTGCACTGTTGGGTAACAAAGAAATTGTCACTTCTCCAAAATTTAACGCTGCTGGAACAAATGCACTACATTCATCGTAAGAGGATTATATCAAACTTTTCATCACATTCTTAAAACAACATTCTTTTCGGATAAAACATATCGCCTAACCATATGGTAAGAGTAACTGATTTGTTTACCTCATTTTACTTACAGCCAGCTGAACAGCGAGATTGAGACATGGAGCGTCATCCTTTCTCTATTGAAAACATTTTGAAAGATACACGAGGTGCTGGCAGTATTTTGAAAATAGCACCGACTTCCGAAGCGTTGGCCCTGGCTGAGCGAATGGCAGGTTAGTCAACTTCGTATTGTCCCTTGACAGAGACCTTAAGTGTCCTGGTGCCAACTTATTCTCTTTTTAGAGTTAATACGTAGCAGAAGAAGCAGAAAAGGACACAGAGGCAGCAGTAAAGGACAGAAGGGCTAGGTGATCACGAACGGTTCTTTATTCACAATCGTTCCTTTAGAGAACGAAGTATTGTGCATTCGCTTGCCGGAAACTTTGAAAATCTTGTTCGTTATTCGTGGAAGGAAAGATATCGCAAGCAGACGCTTTGGATTCCAAGTCGGGAAAATTCGTCTCAGAAATTCTCGAATCATTCTGTGAACTCCCTGTTTGAGGTCTTTTCGTTTCGAAAACCACATAATCAGTGGCGTTAATGAATTTAAGGAGCCAGTAGCGTCGGATTGTATTAGGCCAGGCCAGCAGTCTCCCCCAGATCGGAAGCTTTAGGCAGTGCCAACAATTCATGGGCATAGATAGAGCTGGCCTTTTTGAGCTGGAGGTATCATTGGTAAGCCCATAGATGCGGTTATACCAAAATTTCAGACCTCTAATCTAATCTAACTAAATTCTTTTTCGATAGTAGGACCTACAAAACTGAGCAAATGTTTATGTTAATAAGAAAATGCAGTAATTCATGCATTAAAGAAATTGGCAGGGTTTACGCTAGACGATTGAAATCATTAAAGAAAAATGGTCGGTTTGTTTGTGGCAAGTTGGTAATCCTGAGTCTCGTGTGAAAAAGCACGCTTGTCATTGTCCTCGTTCTCAGCTCGGATTTTCGTTTTCATTTTAATTTCCTCAATCTTTTATACACAAGGGATTTTAAAATCTCACTACAAAGCAAACATGCGCCGCAGGAAAGTATCCTTTGTTCAATTGAGTGCCATCCAGCAAAGCGCGGAACAGGTTATTTATTCATGGCGTAAAAATGGAAGCAAACTGAGTTCGTGACCGTTGACTACTTCAGAAAGCCGATAACCATTTGTACGGAAATGCGCATTGTTTAAGCGGTATCCTGAAACAAGACTTAATCTACTAAGCATTACCACAACAAGTCAACCGCATATACTTCTGAGTAATGCTGTGGTTGAGCGACATAAAATGAAATAAAGCTTGTTCATTCTCCCTGCATGTGGGTGCTGATATTACATGTGATGAAGTCAACCAAATTTAATACTAATTTATGACAAAGGAGCGTGTGTTCAACTTCCATAGACATTTAACGATACTCGTCTCAACTCTGGAACAGCGATGCGACAAACTGCAACTATTAATGTCCTTATATTCAAAAAACACACGATTTTATAAGTACGTGATTAAGTATGACCACAGTGAGGCCGCAAATTCCAAGGGGCGTTGCCCCTGCTTACGATATGCAATGCTGATATCACAATTTCTTTAGCACTGATCCATCGAAAGTCCCATTAATCACGATCTGGGTTTTGCCTTTGTTCGCTAGTTACTGTGCCTAATTGGAAATGTCATTTCTGACAAACTCATAAAGCCCTGTTTGCACCCGATCGGTACACCGTAAGTCAACACAAGAACTCTTAATCAGATTTATTAGCACATTTTGTCGGGTTGCAGGGAACAATTAATTACAGTTCTGGATAGTTCCAGGTGGTGGAGTTTACACAAGCGCTCTAACTTGATGAGAGAACTTAAATTAGCAGTTCGATTTGTGTGTACAGGGGTATTTTGTCTATTTCTATCGCATACGTTGTCTGACAGCCCCTTGCGTTCTCAAATAGCGTACAGAGAAAGCTCTTAATTGCATTGGGTTATCGTCTCAGCTGTGAAGAGGTACATTGATAAATCTAATAGCTTATTCTTCGTCAATCTCAGAGCGAGACGTGCATATTTGTTTAAGTTTCCTCGTGGAGAGCTCGCCGTCGGGTTTCGTGAACTGCATCGTTTTCGAGACGTAGAAAAAAATAGACCAATCATAGGGGTGTTGACGAGCAATATTTAAGTTTAGTTGCTCCTTTTTATTGGGTAAGAATTAGCTTTTCAAGCATTATTTGTTTCAGAGCAATAAACACTGGCGCTGACTTCATTTTGATCGAAACACTGTGTACACGTACTCTGATGCTAACGGAAGATCTGAGAAGCATGAATTTCCGTAATCAGAACCTTTTGATCAACGGTCTTTATAATCAGCGATTAGTCGTTGATTGTCTGGTTATGCTACATGCTGCAAAGGACGCCGGAAATTGCAACTAAACAGTAACAAAAGGCAGGGTGCTTTGAATGCAGAGCTGTCACATCACAAGCTGTTCCGACTTCCACCACAATTCCGAATCAAAAAACTGTATAAACAAGTGCGTTAAATTCATTTCTCAAGAACAATGATAAAGTGTATAACGTCCATTAGATTAACCAGCTTTAACTGTACAAACTTATTACAAAGCTAGGTAGCACCTGTGCATGTGGTGGGCATAAAATTGTAATAATAGCCACTGTCTTCCTAGACTCCAAAGATGTGGTCCATTTTAGATGGTAAATAAGTGCATAATCTCGTTAGGCTCTTTTTTTTTTATAGGAATATGTGAATAGACGTACCAAAGGATGATCACAAACCTACACATAGCCTACTGACGATTTTCATCTTGTCAGTTAATTTTTTACGACAGAATAAATAACCCCCTCTTCTTGAGAAAACACTTTTACCGAAAATCCGATTCTCCCAAGCGAATTAGGATGTCAGATTAGCATCTAAGACTTTGAGAAGTCTAAGAAACCAGAACTTTGTTCCGTTTAAATTTGGCTGTACGTATTCAAAAGTTTCTAGCCAAGCTGTATTAAATAAGTGTCAAGTATTTATCTAACAGCTGTACCTGTACCAGACTGACCCAAAATAGGAAACGTTAGATTGCAAGGTGTCTATTAGTAAGGGAAATCGACAATGTAACAGCACCTTCATCACATTTTTAATTTTGTTTCGTTTATCTCTAGCAAGACGTCTAACGAGACGTCATAAGTAAAAGGAGGGCGTTCGACATAGACTCGAGTAGCTGGGCTGTCCATTTGTAGATCAGGAAAACTTCAGAGTAGTTTCAGTCCATCCAATGCTTACTTTGATGTATACAGATTAACAGTGGAAATTAATTTTGGATGGACCCGAAGCTTCTTGGACGATCACAAAGTTAGAATGTTGCCTAGGCTGATATGCTCAAACTATCGGTTCTCCTTTCTGCAGATTGCTATGTGTGCTCTTGTAAGTTGCTTCTGAGGATTTGGTGATATATATGTATGTCAAGGCGATATCCGTCTAGTTGACGACTTTCGTCTTTCTTGTCGTTTGTTGACGATAAGTTGTCGCAATGTTAAGAGAAATTGGAAGTTGAATGTTTGCGCTATATACTGTTCCTTACGCGATAACAAACTCTTCATTGCAGATATCATATTGAAGGTCAGCTGCATGGAGGGAAGAAAGATTCGACGCACACGGACCACCTTTAACCAGTTCCAGCTTGAGACCCTCGAGAGGACGTTTGCTAGAACTCATTATCCAGATCTGATGCTACGGGAGCAGTTAGCAGCCTACACCAGTCTGCCTGAATCACGAATCCAGGTTAGTTTCAGAAGTGCAAGTGCTATTTAATAATTTTATGCGAAGAAAAGGCCCCAATGTGAATTACACTACAAAGTTAACAATATTAAGGAACGTAAAAGCTGTAAAGTTTAAGATTACCCTTAAAAAGTTTATCATGAAACTGGTCAGTTATACTTATCACTGAGAGTTACCGCGATTACTTCAAAGTTAGCATCACACAGCTTCTAAGGTTTTCATTTGATCATTTGCGTGCTGTTTATGAACTGCCGTTGGACAGAGGCATTGATAATAACCAGTTTTCCAGTCGTCCCTAAATGATTTAATCTGGCTCACAGACACTGGCAGTAGATCATTTTCAACCAGTATTCTTAAATTGAGACGAAATAATCTGATAAACAAAAGTGCTCAATCAACTGAGGGGCCGACCTGGCCAGTTATTAACGAGATTGCTGTATTATGGAAAGTAATGTGAGGTGGAGAGTATAAAAAGTTTCCATGTCACCTACTATATATAGGTCGTCACGAGTGACAACAAAAACAAAATCATGATTACCAACCAACAAATCAAGTCGGTAGTACCTCGATTTGCTTTCACTGAATAGTGATTATGTTTCCAAAAGGTCTAGATAGCAGCAGACGTGTAAATATTTTAAGGAAAACGACCAATTTTTTAAGTTTGCAAGACATGTTTCGACAGAGCTTCTGTCATCTTCAGTTGAATGAATGATTACAAAGCAA